AACCCTTAACCTCACACAATGGCAGCCCACTGTTTCCCAAGGGGATGGGTCTTTGCCTAGGGCCCCAAATTTCCTAAATCCGCCCCTGGCTGGCTGGCTGGCTGGCTGGCTGGCTGGATGGATGAAAGAAAGAAAGAAAGAAAGAAAGAAAGAAAGAAAGAAAGAAAGAAAGAAAGAAAGAAAGAAAGAAAGAAAGAAAGAAAGAAAGAAAGAAAGAAAGAAAGAAAGAAAGAAAGAAAGAAAGAAAGAAAGAAAGAAAGAAAGAAAGAAAGAAAGAAAGAAAGAAAGAAAGAAGGAAGGAAGGAAGGAAGGAAGGAAGGAAGGAAGGAAGGAAGGAAAGAAAGAAAGAAAGAAAGAAGGAAAGAAAGAAAGAAAGAAAGAAAGAAAGAAAGAAAGAAAGAAAGAAAGAAAGAAAGAAAGAAAGAAAGAAAGAAAGAAAGAAAGAAAGAAAGAAAGAAAGAAAGAAAGAAAGAGAGAGAGAAAGTTATGATGAAAAAAAATCCAGAACGTCATCCAGACATCATTAGTCATTAGTGCAGGCACAGTGCTGGTTCTATTAAAGTCTCTTTCATTCAGAGGAAAACACTGATGATGGACAACGATCATCAGATGGCTCAAACAGACGCCAACATTTTTTTTCTACTTGATGATCATTTTCAATTGGATTCATGTCAGATTCACATGTCCATTTTAGTGACCCACATTCAAGTAGTGGGTGACTATTTGAATAAAATCTTTGGCACGGCCTTCTCGTTTGAATTGATTAGTGGTAACTTAGTGGTAGAAAATGATGTTGAGACTCAGGAAGAGGCTGAGGAGCAGGAGGGATGTGAATTACAGTTGAGATTCAAATAGGACAAAGTCCAGCCAACAGGAGAGATTTCTGTTCAAGAAAACTCTTAAAAATAGCTCAAGGCCCTCTTTGAGGTGACATTATTTCTTACCATTCAATATACCTAAAATAATTGGTTCGGGAATTGTTTGGAAATGTTTAATTGATGACTTTTTGCCTTTTAACAACACTTATTTTTACACAATTCAAAACATATAAACAATTTTTGACGTAAAACAAGTGTGAGTGAAAATCATTCATTTAGGAACTTGTTACATGTTGTCCTTCATCTGACAGAGTACATAAAATGGTGTTGAAACCCCACTGTTGGAGTTATTATGATTTCTGTTGTTTTTATCATTTTATTCATTTATATATTTTATATTGCTCTCAATCATTTGTTTTTCTATATGTTACTCTCATCTTTGGAAATAGGGTATGAAGGTCATAAGACAGTCAAATGTCTTGCAAGAAAGGTTTCCTGTTTTTCATTTCATCATCATCAAATATTACACCAAGATTTTTTACTGATGATCGAATGTTAGGTGTAAGAGGGCCCAAGAAGCCAGGGGGAAAAACTGCTGGGCTACAACCAAACATTATAATTTCTGTCTTATTTTCATTCAGATTCAGAAAGTTTGAGGCCATCCATGATTTAACATCATTTAAGCAGTTAGAAAATGACTGGATGTAGTTGTTGGATTTTGAAGTTAAAGGAAAGTAGATCTGGACATCAGTGAAAAGAAAGATTATGGTTTCTGAAAATTGACCCCAATTGTAACATAAAGGAGAAAAAGAATAGGTCCAAGAATGGAGCCTTGGGGAACCCCAGTACTGAAGGGAGCTGAAGATGAGGTGAATTTGCCTAGCTGCACAGAAAAGCTCAGATCAGTCAAATAAGAATGGAACCATGCGAGAGCAGATCCTGTAATGCCCACCCACTGCTCAAGACGCTCAATTGAGTAGATAAAACCAATTAATTTTACATTGAGCTATATAAATTGTAGGAGTTAGTTGAACATAATTTAGGGACAAATAAACAAAACTAGATTTTCTGAAGTTGAACTAACCAAACATATTCACATTTATTGTATGTATTAATTTCCTTTTAAAAGTATTTTTAAACATAGTGTTGAACAGACTCATTAAAATCACTCCATACAGATAAATGTAGATTTGGTTCAGCTAGCAAAAATGTAATGGATGGAAAAACTGACATCAATAAAATTTTGTTAATCCAGTGAGTCATTTTTACGAGTGATGTGAACATGCTTAAAATGGAAAAAAAATATAACAATTGTTAAATCGATAATAGCGGGTTTTTAATGTGAATGTGACCCGTTTTTATTCCAGATATGAGAACAGACAACATAGACAACACATCGACAGAATAATTTAGAGTTAAAAGCTGAAAATGACAAATATTTTTGAACAGACATTGAACCCTTTTATGGAAGTAAATCTGTGACGCTGGGATTTGAATTAAAAATGCAACTGAAATTTAAATGTTGTATGTTTGTACTTACTGTTTCAGTGTTAAAATATATTCAGAACACATTTTTGATCCAAAAAAAAATCATTGTCATTATTTCTACACAGTTGAAATTTCATTTGTTATTTTCTCTTCAAGCTAAAAATTCACATTACTATTTCAAAGTGATTACGTTTTCAATATTTATTTTTCAGTTTAATTTTTGAATGGTAAAAAAAATCAGCAAATAAAAAAATTCAACCTTTCAAAATTCAAGATCAATATTTTAAGCCTCCTAAGATTCAGCTGGCTCTATTTCACTGTGTTAAATTCGGCGTCTAAATTCAGTCTAAAAAGGGAAGGATTACTTCATGGTCACAGACATTAGCAATGGATTGTGGTGTCCAACACCCAGCCAATCCCGTTACGTTTTTTTAGTCACGTGACGTGACGCCTGTGGCGCTCATACGGAAGGAAAACCAGCATCATGGAGCCGGTCATGCACGCTAACGCTAACTCAACTACAGAAAATTGAAAGTAGCGAGTTAGCGTAGCCTATCTGCACCCAGTTTTCATTACCACTCATCTAATCCACCTGCCTCAGTCTCTATTTAACCAGCTTTCAGACAAGTCATTAGTGCCAGATAATTTCAAGCCTGTGTTGAGAGTTCTCTGGCATACCTGTGCATTCTGATTACCTGATCAAGACCCGTTTGGCCTCTGGACCGCTGAGCCTGCCTGTCCCTGTTCTGATCTGTTTGCCTGACCTGTTGTCTGACTCATTCTGGATTTCCCCTTTGTACCTTTGGACCTCTGATCTCTTGGCTCTGAATTCAGAGCACATTATCGGCACCAGCTTTGGCTTCGCTCTGTAGATTATCGTGCTTTCCTTCATCTGCTTGGCTTTTATCTTCTGCCTGTCCTCTGACATCTGATTCATTAGCATCCCAGACTCTCTGGGCGTCTGCCGCATCATGTTGACAGCCGACCGGCTCGAACCAACCTCACCCACTGGGCTCGGATTGAAGTAAAAGACCAGAGGTTCCTGCCGTATGCGCCGCTGCTGTTCACTTCAGTTCCATTTCCGAACCAACGTTTTGAGAAATCTGTTTGTCCGCCTTGAATATTGGGTCCTTGTCATGATCCTGGCACTGATGACTGGCTTATTACCTATTCCAATCACCTATATCTACCTAAGGTGCTTGTATCCAGTCATCAGGGCCACATTATTCTTGTTATCTCTAGCCAGTTGTGAGAGTGTTTTTTGAGTTCCTTGGTGTTTCTGATTTCCTGATCTTGACCTGTTCTGCCTCTCAACCACTGAGCCTACCTGTTCACATCTGATCCTAGTGGTGAGAGTGTTTTTAGAGTACCTGGGTGTTGGCTTTGGATTCCTGGATATCTGAGCCTGCCTGTTCCTGTTCTGGTCTGTCTGCCTGACCTGGCTTCGGACTCCTGCATGTTCTATTCTGTTCTGATCTTTGATATTCCTATAGTTCCGAGCCTGACACAAATGTGTGCTTAGGTATTAACAAACTTTCCAAGTTTCTGCTTTAACGTTGTTGAATGATAATTTCTTTGTAATTTGTAGTGACATTAGGACCTAGATCTTCCTTTTCTCATGACTTTTAACTCTGCTGGAGATAATGCTTCATAATTGCTGCTCTCATTGGCATGTTGCCCACATAGACCCTCAGTCAGTTTGGGTCTAATGGTGGTTCAGGGGAGAGGATAAAGTTACTTTCCCATAATGTTTCACTTTGATGTAGCCAAAATCTAGTTCTAAGGTCTCTGAAGGATCACATTGGGTGTGTATTTAAATCGACTGCAAGGATGAACTTTATGGCTTCTCCTCTGCTTCTCCTCTGCCACTAAATATCAAATGATTCATTGTCTCATTAACCATGTCCTGTCAGACCTTTACTCTCCCAAATGGCACCCACATTCTGCATGATTCATACAAATGTACAAACAAATTTTGAAAATGCATCTATTGTGTGTATTTGTGTAACCATGGATCCTTCCCACGGGCATATCTTTGATTAAAAGATTTTGGAGTTTCTCTGCTTGACCTTGCAACTAGTGGGCAGAAATAAGTTCTGTCTTCACCGTTTTCACCACACTCTGTGTGTCTGTGTGTGTGTGCAGTGAACAGAGTCAGTTGCATGTTAATTTAGGATCAGGGACAGAGTCCATGAGTATGCTGTGTTTACACCAGTTCAAATGCCAGTGTCCCTATGATTCACTTCATCACAGGAGGCCAGTGAGAGGATGCATGGATGAGGGGGGGTCTGGGAACGAGTACTGCATGTGTGTTTGTGATTGTGTAAGATGGTACATATATTAATTCACCTCTCATTGCTCACACTAACACAAACTGTGGAACCACACCAGAAAAGTACACAAATATGAGGAAACCTTTTAAAAAAAAACTTTGGATTATTGATCAATAATCATTTAGGGGCACCAAGAAGCCTTTACACTCACAACATTGTAGAAGAAATAGACAAGTTGGTGAGCCAGCTGCCTACCCTTGTTACTCCAGGGCCACTGAATAAATTATGCGTGCACATACACGCACACACAAACACGGGCGACCTTATCAGCTTCACAGCCCCCCTGTGGAGGCCGGCTGCTTGGTGAGCTGTCTGCCTCCCCCTCTCACAACAGTACAGCCAACAAGTGGTTCAATTCCAGGCGCCTGTTAATTACTCCCTGCGCTGCCCAGCTTGGAGTTGCAGATGACCTTCCGTGGAGCAGGCTTTGGTGAGCTGGGAGCAGATGATGTGCTTCATGGAGGACCGGCCAATGACCCGTGACAACCGGGGAGGACTCACACGTGAGTGATACCCATCCCAGGCCATGCACCGGGTTGCACCCTCTCCAACAGGCTGTAACGCCACAGCCAAATCAGCTGGGAAGGGGAGTCAGTGTAATGTGTTAAAGAGAAACTGTCCATTGTTTTTGTAGATTTCAATAAATTCTGACATAATTCTGTTTGGTTTGCTGCCACAGGCCTGGTTTTATGTGTTACCTACAAGTGCATTTTTCTTCTCACAAAGTTTTACCTGTGTTAAGGATGTATTCCAATTCATTTTCACAAAAGAAATAAATACATGTCAAAGTTTGTGGGAAAAAAAAACTTCTGACAGTGATGGAACAATGAACATCATCACAGTCGTAAACTGCCCTCCGTGTTGGGGTGGTGAGTGGGGGGGGTGGTAAACTGTTCCGTGACCTGCAGTTGTAAATGTGCAGAAGTAAGGTAACGCTCCAAGATCCTGGATTGCATTCGCACCGACATGATCTTCAACAATAACCAGACTTACAAGCATTCCAAAGGTTTGGTATGAATGCAACTCTTTCAGCTTTCAGAAAGATGTGCTTAATGGTCCTGTTCTGATCAACATTATTACTGAGGTGCATATAAATGCATGTATCCAGGAGACATGCATTGCCACAAATTTTTTTCTCCAGGATACTTTATTCATTTTATCACTTAGTTAAGCAGTGGTTGTGCTTCTAATGTCTCAGCGTCATCAGTAGTTGGTATTTAATCTACTTTAAAGTAGAGTAGGTGACACAGTTTGACATGGTAGTTAAACTACAGTTGAAGTATATCCACAGTCAATCAGCACACATTTTAAGTCAAATTCTGAAATGGACACTATGAGATTTCAGATCACAGATGGCAGATGGCCAACTGACAGCGGTGAACATCCAGGGAAGTGACATTGAGATAGTGAACACTTAAGACTTTGTTTGGTATAGAAGGCTTATAGCCGTACATTTTTGATTCCTTGCCTCACAACACTGCCAGTTCTGTTAGCTCTACGCCTGCCGAAGACCCAGGCGTCCATCCCTGTGAACACTGGGACGGAACTCAATGGTAAAGTCAATTGATTCTTATTTCTTATTTCAACCGTTGCATATATTAGCTGCAACATACGAATCAAAATGCTATGACCGAAAAAAGTTGATTGACAGATGACTGTTAATATATAATTGGCCGAATTTAGGTGTACAAACTGACTTGTAACTAACTGGCCTGCATGACGTTAGAAATTACCTTGCGGAGCCAAACAACATATCCCAATTTAGCCCAATATGGGGTAATCAGCTGTTTGCTCCAGGTAGAGCGGATGGAACCTTTAGGATTTGGGCGCTGCAAGGTTTAAAAACTGTTGGTGACCTTTACCCATCAAATTCTGATATATTTTTGTCATTTGCAGAGCTACAAACCAAATTCAATCTGGATAAAAAACATTACTTCAAATTTCTTCAGATAAGAAGCTTTGTTAAAGCAAATTACAACAACCTTAACAAGCCCCCTCTTACGTTACTTGAAAAATTAATGACTCGGAATAAATCAAGGAAGGGCATCATTTCAGATTTTTATAATGTGCTGGTTTCTAACTCATTAGAGGACTCAAACAATAAGCTTATAAACTGGAATTTGGACCTATCATCAAATATCAGTGAACAGGATTGGGAAAAGGCTTGCATTAAAATTCACACAATGTCCATAAGCAGTCATCTTAGAATCCTACAATTTAAATGGCTAATGCGTATCTATGTTACACCTGTGCATTTAAATAAATACAATAATAACATCCCAGATCTGTGTGTAAAATGTAATACTAAAGGGACTCTAATACACTGCATGTGGGAATGCAGACAAATCAAAGCATTTTGGACAGAGGTGAAAGATATAATTGAAAAAATTATCTTAAAGCAAGTTCCACTGGATCCTAAATTGTTCCTGCTAGCTTTATTCCCTGGGAAACATAACTTTAGTAAATCAGAATGCACTTTCATAGATATAAGCTCATTGGCTGCAAAAAAATGTATTGCTTTGACTTGGAAAAATATCAATAGACCTAGTGTCACGCAGTGGTTAAAACAGATGGCGTCTAATTTGCCGCTAGAAAGAATAACATATATTAGGAAATCCAAAGGGTATCTTTTTGAGAGGATTTGGGGGCCTTTCATTAATTTTATTAAGGACTTAGACTTGACAGAGGGTTTGTTTGAGTTCTGATTTGCCAGAACCTGTGGTGTGCCATGTTGTATAGATGTGTATAATTATATCTGACCAATTTGTAATCTGTGTGAATACCCCAGTTTTTGAGAAGCTGTGTTCTTTGTTTTGTTTTTTTGTTGTTGTTGTATTTTATTTCTCTGGATTGAGTAAAATAATTATTGTCATGTAATGACTACAAAGAGAACCTGTTCAAATAACTACATGCTTGTATTTCCGAAGTGTAAAAACTCAATAAAAATATGTTGGTAAAAAAAAAAAAACTGGCCTGCATTAAATAATGAAACAAAAAAAAAAAAAACATTTTAAGACAGGATTTTTTTTTATAGAAATTTTCTAACTTTTGGGACAATATGGTCTGATAAAGAGTACATTTATATACGTGTTTAGGCCAGAATGATTTAAAATGTAAATATGACTTTAAGCGTACAAAATCAACTGACATTCTTTTCAGTTCTGTATTACATTCCCACTGAATAACAATTATTTACACAAACCGTTGATGATAAGAATAGAACGAAAGAAATCAATCTGGGTTTAGTGTATTTCAGTAACGTATGAAAGTCATCATTCATTTGTAGCTGTTCTCCAAGTTTTATCTTCTTTCCTTTGGATGTTCCAAAAAGCCAGATTTACATAAGGATGTTATTGCAAAATGGAAAAGGCATTTTACTACTCAGCCTAGGTGGAATTGTCATTTATTTCATAGTTGTCTTAAAAGTTAAGTTTTAAAACCGCATGTATTTCATGTTAATAAGATTTTATATTATAAGTTATATTTATTAATATATAAAAAAACACATTTCATGATAATGAATCACTTTGTTGCCTTTTTTTCTAATTTTCATCCCATTTTCTGAAGGCCCCAATAGCCCCGTGTGCCGGCCACAACTGAGCCCCCCTCACCCCCCACCCCCACCACCTTAAAAACTCCAAACAGTAATTTGGTCTTTGAATCAATAATAGCTGAATAATTGTCTGGTCTAACAATAAAACTGCTGCCCAGAAGGTTTAAGTTGGATTAATGAGGGTAGCTGCAAATTTCAGTTGAACTTGAATAATTTTGCTTTGGAGCAGGTACTCCTCTGGTCAAAGCCCTTCTTGGTTTCTCTTAAAAAGAGATGTACTGTGGACTGTGACTGTTTTCTAGCTGTTTTTAGGTCATGACTGGGTTAACATTCAGTGGTTCTTGGATTGCTCTTTTACACCCTCACCTGTTTTTTCAATCTGCAGGGGACAATTTCCAGATCTCATAGCTACAAATTGTAACGACTTTGGTTGGAATAGACATGAATATAATCCCAAATAAGGACTTTTGAAAGAATCCCAATAAACTTCCTGAATGGCCTCCACAGCAACCTCCTCCCAATGCAAAATGTTTGTGCAATGGTTGATATTTGGATACAGGATACTAAACAAAGCTATTTTAATTAACTCTATCAACCTTGCTGATAAGATTGCTCCAACATTCAGCTAGAATTATATCAGCTTTTTTGGATGGCTCAACAAAGTATTGTTTTGTAATGGATCATCCTAAAGGTCAGCTATCTAAACATCAGTGTTTGGCCTGTATGTTACTATATATGTAAGCTTCTCACACAAAGAGGAACCATTAAACAAAGCTTAAAGATGCACTAATTTGCTCCTGTTGCTCTGATAAATAGGCCGCTAAAATGAACACTTTTTGTTGATGATTAACCTGAGGGGCAGTATGTACTGTACAACAAAGATTTGTCAGTGTTATGTCATCTCTCTGCCACACACATAATGTTACCCGTCCATATGTTGGTTTTTGGTCATTTTGCTACACCGCTGGGTTTTCCTTTCATGTTCATCTGTTGTTGTGAGCTGTAGGCGGCTCTCGGCTTCTTTCCAAACTAGCCTACACTAAAGCAGAGTAACAAGATTTTACTTTGAATGTCAAATGAGTTTTCTAACCTCACATCTTCACCCCTGGGGGGTGAGCATGATGTGCCACAGGTTAAGCCAAAAACACTGTTAATTGTTTTAGTTTTACAGTAAATGTCTTGGCTCTCATCCAGGAGCCAGTCAGCTTGATTTGTGCCAAAACTGCCTTCACCCCACCTCTAACTATCAATCCTCCCACATTGTGCTCTGTCTTAAAGGAAAAATATGACGGTATTGGTCAATTTTCTCTTTCTATGAAGCCAGAACAGACATAATACCATTTTAGTAAATCTTAATAAAACGTATTCATTTAAGATGGCAATTCAGTGCCTTAAAAATCGACCAAAAACTTGTAAGAAATGAAAGCAATCTCTCCAGAGCCAAGTCTATGCCTTCCACTGCCTTTCTAGGCGCTTCCTCCGGCGTCTCCCACCCCTCCCTCCTGGCTGACGTAGAGAGGATCCTTCTCTGCCCACGACCGTGGGCGCAGCGGCGTCCGTGGATATAAAAAGCTTCCAGGAGATCCTGGACATCACTGCTAGAAGCCACAGTGACTCGGTCACCAGAGCTGAACCGCAGCAGAGATAGCAGCAAGCAGGCACCTCCACGCCGCGCAGGCTAACTCGCTTTCGGCTTTGGTTCGAGATGGAGACCCGTAGGACCGTGAGGAGCTCCAGCGCTCACAACTTCAAGAGTAAGTTAAGCAGCGTTTCCGTCCTACAAGGAGGAACATGCTTCCTTTCAAATATCTATGCATTTGATTTCAGTGTCTTAGTTACTTAGCCTACTGTGTATTTTTATGATCAAATCAAGTGGTTAAAGTTAAACCTAGCTTATTTTATTTTGAAAGCAGGTTATTTTACAGTTGTTGCGCCTTTTACGCACGTGCGTTCTGGTTTTAAAATTGCATTAAACTCAGTTTAAAGACAAAAAAGATACGACTGAATCATCCTAAAAATACTTAGATACTCTTAAGGGAAAAAACTCGAAATAGTGACATTTTTTTTTACTTTGGAGAAATCAAAATGAGAGGAAACGATGAAGCGAATTCATAGAAATTATCCAAGTGATTAAAGTCTTATCTATTTAAACGTTTATCTTAAAATATGATTTATTTTGTTTTTCTACGTAAAAGCCGAACCCATAACAGTCTTTATACAGATATTCAAGTTTGTCGAAGGACCAGCTAGGCCTATTTATCTGTTATTTGTTCATTTGAATAGGCCTATTTTTTATTTACTTATTTTCAATTTAAACTCTTAGTTTAAAAGTTGGCAGTGTCTGAAAATTATACAAAAACTTTGTGTTAAGTAGAGCAATTATTAGAAAAACACTTAAGTTTTGCATGGACAAAAAAAAAGCATGTTCAAACAAATCAAATCAGCCAAACTTTATAAAAAAAAAAAAAAATATGAAAAAATATAAGCCTCATTAAACTGTTTGTATAAATCCTAATGATCGATATTTTTATTATTTTATCTTTGACTTTTGGTTTGGTATGCCACCCAATCCGGCCATCCCTAACAAAACTCTCATTAGTATCATTTGTGTGCACAGCTTTCTGAGATTTCTCACTCATCTCATATCTTTTTTTTATGGTAGATCCCCTGAAACCCTGTATATTGAGTCTGTCTCCACAGCGTCCAGTGCAAATGACCAACAGAACTTGTTAAAAGGTCAGAGGGTTAGACGGTGGAAAATCTTGCGTGGAGCAGATGAATGGAACCCCATCAATATTAAATGCATGTACTTTTACTGCGTTTACTTCTTCTGTAACCCGGTTTCTGAGGAAAGCCAAAGGCTTCTGAATTATCCATTCAAACTGAAACTGATCCCACTCTGGTTACTGGTTGTAGCCTGTGCGTGCACTCAGTACTGGCACCTCTCCCAGCGGAACAAACCATTTGCTCTAAATAACATGACATATTGGAATCTGGGTTGATTTAGTGCTGTAAATAATATTTTATGTCCCTTTTTTCTTTAAAATTTATAAAGTGAGTGTTTCTAAGTTACCTACAAAAATTTGCTTATTGTCAAAGTTATGCAACCAAGACACTGACACCTGAGTAAAGTGATCTTCTGGAAATGAATAGGTGAATGATTTTTGTCTGAATTATGCATTGGGGAGTATCATAATGACATGGGTAACAGAACAGCCATGTTGAAAGGAATCACGTCAGAAAGCTGTCCAACAAACTGTCACAGAAAATAATGGTTTCCAAACCATGACCTAAAACAAGAGCAGCTTCAACTCTCCAGTCTTTGTTACTGTAAGAATTTGTGTTTTCCAGCTTAGTAAAGCTCTCCCTCTTCTACTCTTCCCCTTCAGGTGGATTATCTCTTTGGTTAATTCTGTGGCTACTGGTGGTGAAGCCCAGTGGGGTTTCTGCCTGTCCAAGGCTGTGTGTGTGTTATCCTACACCCATGACGGTCAGCTGCCAGTCCCAGAACCTTACCATGGTTCCAGCTGGAGTACCCTACGACTCCCAACGAGTCTTTCTGCAGAACAACCGCATTACAGAGCTTCGCGCAGACTCCTTTGGCTTTGAGACCCAGGTGAGCTCCCTATATACTGAAAACCCTTCCTCTATAATTCATTCATTTCTGTTCTAATACATTTTTTCAATCTGAAACCCTCTAAAGGTGCTTTGGCTGTATGGGAACAACATTACGTGGATTGAGGCCGGAGCCTTCAGTAACCTGAGGATACTGGAGGAGCTGGATCTGGGAGACAACCCCTCGCTGCGGCACCTGGAAGGTGGAGCCTTCAGGGGGCTGGAGAAGTTGCAGAGCCTGCACATGCATCGCTGCAAGCTGGCCACTCTGCCCCATGATATCTTCCACAAGTTGTACAGCCTTCAGTTTCTTTACCTGCAGGTAAATGCAGCTTTCAAGTACACACTCGCAGACCAAAATTATTTAATGAGATGTTTAGGAAAAATAATATGCATAATAATATCCAATTATATGCATGCTCAATTTTTTCAGTAGGAGACATTCGTTTTGTAGAATTAGTTCACTGATGCATCAGTCCACATGCAGGCTGCACACCCCCACACACAGTGACGCTTTCCACACTGCATGGGCTGGAAGGTTTAATCCAAGCAACACGTTAAAATACAAACTCAGAAAGCCTGCTGCTCACCAGAAGAAATCATGTTTCTTTATTTGTGGCAGCGATCTAGCCTTGTTTAGTTACAGGAATTATATGGAGATAGAAAAGTCTAACAGATTCCTTAATAAAATGGATGAATATACAGCAAATCAAATATTAAATGATACTTAATTTCCCATACAATACCAATTAAATGTAGCCTGGAGGAATATCTGTAATTTTTTATTATTTGTTTTATTTAGAAGGAGAATTTTAATTTCTTCCTCGTTTCAATCAGATGTTTGTTTTCTGACAGGATAGCAGACATTGCACCTGAACATTAAGGCAAATACAATCAAACAGCACCTTTTTGTATCACTAAATCCTCTTGTATTGTGTTTTTTTCTGTAGGAAAATCAGCTCAATTTTCTGCAGGACGATCTGTTCTCAGATCTGGTCAACCTGACCCATCTTTTCCTGCATGGAAACCGCATCCGTGCCCTTTCTGAGAATGTGTTCAGGGGCCTGGTCAACCTGGACCGCCTCCTTCTCCATGACAACCGCATCAAGCAGGTGCACCGCCGGGCTTTCCGTGATCTTGGTCGTCTGACAATCCTTTACCTTTTCAACAACTCTCTGGCTGAGCTGCCAGGCCAGACCATGAAGGACACGCAGGGAATACAGTTCCTGCGTCTCAACAGTAACCCCTGGTCCTGTGGCTGTGAGTCCCGTCCCCTCTGGGAGTGGTTCCGCAAAGCCCGCATCTCCTCCTCTGAAGTGGTGTGCAGCTCCCCATCCCAACGTCGTGGCCAGGACCTCCGATTTTTGCGGGAGTTGGATTTCGCCCTCTGCCCTATTCCTGACCCAGGCTCCCTGGCTGGAAGCACCACAACCACCTTCAGCACCAAGACCCGCTGGTGGTTTTCCAAGAACAAACCTGCATCTTCATCAAAGACCTCATTCCAGAAGAGCTCAGAGAAGTCCTTACCCTCCTCCCACCTAAAGCCTCAGTACCCCAAGAAGCCCGCTGAAACATTGCCCTTTAAGTACGAACTCTCTGCAGATGAGGCAGCTCTTCCCAAGCTGGATCCCGAAGAGTACTTCGCCAACTACGGAAACGAAGATTCCTCCCTCCGCTGCATCGAGCTTGACTGCGCTCCTAGCTATGACAGCGCAGCGTTCCCCTCATCCTCCTCTTCAACCATCACTCCATCTCTGCTCCCCCTCCTCTCCTTCTTCACAGTAACACTCCTCCTCCATCTCCTTTTAAGTTGAAGTGTTTTCCCTTCTCTCACCTTCTCCTTCCTCTTCGTTTTCCTTCTGCTCTTTCTTGTTTACTCTACAGAAATTGCATCATGATTCCCTTCAGTTGCCTCCTGCACATTCAGGGGCGGTGATTCAGTGATGCAGGAGTTGGACGAGGCAGCAGGAAGCTGTTTCAGAGAGCAGAGGTCAGATTAGCTGACGCAGAGAGGGATCAGTGAGTGGAAGTAGTGCAGTGGAGTCATCAGATGCTACTTGTGATGTCCCAGTCCTTATCATGCAGACTACATGAGCTAATGATGGTCTAATTACCATTTAGATGACGGTAGTTGCATAGAGCAGGGGATTCACACTTAGTTTGGCGACGTAAAGTGGAGGACTACGCAAATACTGAGTATTATTGAGATTGATGAATGGATGGAAACCTTACCAGCAACACGCACTTGTAAAAACAGCACAAAATCACTGTATATAAACTTATTCCATATTGTACATAGAACTAACAGGATTTGTACTTATAGTAAAAATGGATTGTATTCACTCCATATATTTTGAATGGAAGGGAGGCTAGTTAAATATTTTTCTTCTTTACAGTTTTCCCAAACACGTCAATTTACCTTTAGTGTCCTTTAATGTTTCCTGGACTCACCCAATCCTTGGCCTTTATGTTCCTGTTTGTATGACCTGTTGATGCGTTTCTTACCAGAGCACCTTTGACAAAAAGACAAGTTTGAAACTGCATATCTGTTGTTAGTTGTGATTTTTTTTTTTCTGGTTTCACCAACATATATGCAAACCATGATCATACAGATCATAAGAATCACCTACATAAGCTTCAGCATTCTTTCTCCTGTATCTGTAGAAAATGTTGCAGTGACAGATCGACCCTGTAATGTCAGTGACGGTCCAATGTTTGTGCTCAGTCCCACCGACTTTCTACACTGATCATAAATGATACTGTGATGTTGCTGGATTTTGTATTTTTCAATGGAAGATGCTGTTGAAGTGTTTTGTTTAATAAAGAAAATGAAATCATAACATGACTTTATATCTTTTTCTTGTCAGTAAGAAAATTTAAATTGGAATTAAGACACATGATATGAGATGAAGTCAAGGAGGAGCAGCCATGTACACCATATAGGGCATTATTATAATCCGTAAAGAACTTAATTCTCCTCAAATATTAGGTTTCTATTTTCTTTTGTCTTTAATTACATTTGCATAGTGTTTAATTCACCGATCATTTAATTTTATGGGTCACTAATTATTTGAACTGGTTTTATGGTATCAGTTTACAGCAAAATAATAATGTAGGAAATGTGAAAAAAGCTAAAAATGGATCATCCAAAATATAGCAATCAAGCTGAATGCTTTCTATTTTTTATTTTTTTGCACATTTATATTTTATTGATATAGTACCTTTAACCATAAAATCACAAAAAAATAATACATAATTAAAAACATTAAAAAATAGCATATAAAGGTATGCAATGGATTTAAATAAATATGATAACATAAGGATTTTATATTATCATAATCTTAGTTGAGGATTTGCTGGATTAATCCCACTATCCTCCTTTTCCAGTTTAACAGTTTACTGTTAAGCTTACTGCAAGACTGTAATGAATGAAGGCAAATACTGGTATTCTTAAACAAGTTATTTAATAAACAAAAAAATTATAAATATCTTTTATTAACAATACTGGCAGTGATTTAAAAACAGAGTAGTTCAATAATAATGCTTTAATCCTGGAAGCTTTGTGCATTTTAACCTAAACTTCAAGGCTTTTCTTTTTTGTGCTTCTATGTGTGTGAATGTCTTTCCATGTTTATGTCACCTATTGAGGACATTTTTTGGTATGTTTACTAAACTTCATATACAGAAGAATTTCCAGTGTTGTTGTTTTATATTAAAATAATGCGTTAATTTAACAATTTATTAGTCTAATTTATCTATGCAACTGTTAGTTTCTCCATAGAGTCTATGTTACTCTGCAAAGTTCAATTAAAGCAGCTCTCTTAGGGGTTGATTTTACAATAAACAATTAACAGAGCTTCTCTCAGAGTGTGAACACTTATGACTTTGCAGTTGTGGAGATAGAGAAATTTGTCCTGCAACTAAAGGGTCGTTGCATCCTTGGGTAAGATACCAGAATGATATTGTTAAGTGTTCAATGTGTGTTCAGAGTCCCTGTTTACTGCAGCTTTGCTTCTGTCAGTGTTTCCCCGGGCAGCTTTGGCAATTATCAGACAGCATGGAATTAATTTGCACTTTTATGCTGATGATACTCAGCAATGCTTTTCCATAAATCTGATGTTAACTCAAGTGTGTGGCGTTAACCTTTGATGCTATACACTAGTGTTAGATAATATCAACTCTGATAAGTGTTTTAAACCAATCAAGAGTTTTGCTACAACTGTCTTACAGTTTTAATTGCTTGATACTTTTTTTTTTCTAACTCAATCTAGTGTTGCCCATAATAAAGACACTCCAAAACTGCTGAATTTAACCTTCTGGGAGTTGAATTGACAAAGACTGAGAGGCTTTATGGAAAGTTTAGTCCTAATGTGTCACACCCTCATTTTTACTGTTGGGGTTCAGAGTCTTAGTGTGAATTAACATGAGGTTCAGGCTAGGGTTAGGAACAAACTGGTAATGGTTTGGGTGAATCTCACAGTAAATACAGCAACTAAAATATATGTCATACTGCTAAAAATACAAACTTGTTTGATAGGGAGTGTAAGTGAAGAAGCTCATTAGTTGCTGGTCACTTCTCACCCCAGCCTCTTCTCATCGCTAACAGGAGGCAGCTATATCAGGCTACTGAGGAGCTTGTGTGAATGTACATGTGTTTGGGGGTTTGGTGGGTGGGCTGAGATGTGAATCAGGGAAAGAGGCAGAATGGGGAACACAACAAGACCAATGTGTGCCCGAATCAGCACACCCCCTCAACAGATACACCCTGAGCAGATTATGGTCCTGATGATGCATATAGTCATGCATGCTCTTGCAGATGCCAAGACATTAACAAACATGTTTAAACACAAAATGAAAGTTCAAGAAGGACACTGTCCCTTTGTGCTTTAATAAACCTTTGCCTTTCTCAGTGAAAAGTTCAATGATTAGTTTTTTTCCCCATGTTTTCTTAATTTCATTTAACAGATGAAGGAAACATCTGTTCACAGATATAGTTAAATACAAAACCGACTCTGGCCACTTTTTTTTTTTTTTACCTTGCAGTTACCTTTTTTCATACTTTGTCCATCCACTCACTTTTCCATTAATATACCATGTCTGATTAACATTGTGCTTTGTTTGCAATGACCTTTGGTGACCTTCGCTCTTGGTGGAGGCTGCTACCTATTTCTTCCTCTTCATCTTATTGATAGCCATGAAATAACCTTTTCAAATTAGGAAAAGAATATATTTTCCTACTAGTCAAGTGAACATTTTTATGATAATTCGACACAAAGCAGTAAAATTTGCAGAATACTTGAAATATACAAGTTTGTTTGCAATCAGTAAAATATTTTAGCCTGGGCAGGCAGACTGACTTACATTTTGATCCCAGTGTGCAGCTTATACCCATGTTAGTCAGTCTGAGTAGCCATGCTACTAAATTTTAGGAGTTTCTCTTTTTGATTGTTTTGCCATTTAGCAGTCTGTTAAAATTTGCCTGTAGGAATCGGTTCTCCAAGCTTATTAAAAGCGGCAAATGTTGTGCTTTAGTTATTTAGCAGCTTCTTAGAAAAGTTAGGCCCATTATAAAATCAAAGGATTACTTGACTATTTTATTTGATTTTTGGTAAGCCACACACCGGTTGCCTGGCAACTGCTCACATAATGGAAACAGTCTGGAACCCAATGAACCAGGCTAATCAGAAATCCTTCATTTATGTTTATCTATTTTTTGTGCAGCTGGATTAAAACCAGAAAAGATGCAATCAGTTAATTTATGATTTCCATGTGATGCTAAGCAGCAAACCACAAGTGGCTGATAGAGCCACCATTAATGTTTTGCAGCCTTTGGGTTTATATGCATCATCTCCAGTTTGAACTCAGAGGGAGAATAAACCCTGGATAGATTTCCATTTTATAAGATAAAGTAATTCATTGTCAAAAAAATAAAATAAAATAAAAAAATCACTCTTTATATCTTAGTTCATGAAAGTTTGATCTTAATCGCTTATCCTTCATCAGGTCACTCCAGGGGTTCATAGATTTAGGGGGCTAAGCAAGGCACAAAGGAGATGAACAGCTGTCCATGTAAACATTAATATTGTTCCTTCTAGAAACATTCAAACTCATTGAACTTTGTTACGTTTTCTCACATTAAGACTACAAACCTCAATGCAATTGTTCATATATATATATATATGTGCAAAATCCTATTCATGAAACAATGTTATGAGCTTTGAATTACATTTTTTGTTTTGTTTTCAACATGTGTTTGCCATCTACAATTCATTTAAAATATCCATAAAACATGTTTTAAGATTAATCAAATAAACAATCAATGGATAAATCAATTACTAAAGTAACCGGTGAAGCCCTTAGCTAGATATAGCCCACTTGTGTTTTTCTGAATGTAATTCCATCTGTTCACTGAGGGCCCCAGAGGTCTGTTAGAGAGCACTGGGGAACAAACAGCATGATGGAGGCCAAGAGATACAGCAGACAGGTCAAGGAGAAAGTGGTGAAGTTTAAAGCTGACTTCGGCCATTAAGTATATCTCAAGCATTGAACATCTCACATGAAAACTGTTTAATCTGTCATCTGAAAATAGTCATTGTATGGACAGCTGCCAAATTAGCATGACACGTTGCCTTCTATTGACTAAAATATCAAGCAAATTGCAAATTCTTCATGAGTCCAAGGTAACTGTGGAGGCGTTGCAGAGATGCACAAATAGAATCTGTTTAAAAAGAACCGCTGCTGGTTGTGCAGTTAATAAAATCTGTCCTTAATGCAGAACTGAAGCCATTGTTGATTACAGCAAGAACATTTTTTTAGGATCCAGCAGGACAACAACCCTATGTACAGCCAGGCCTAAACCAGGAGGGTTTAAATCAATGTCAGTATGATGCCCAAGACTAAGTCCACATGCGATTCATGTAATAAATCTGTGTTTTAAAACTCTCATGAACACACTGATCTGCTCAGTGTTTCCAAACTTCATTTAAAAGCCTGTCAGACATCAAAGAAACTATAGAATATGTGGTATTAACTGTTGTCTTAAGTTGAAATGTCCACAAGAAAAGATGACCTCATGCAAAGATTAAAGTACACTTTCTCCATTTCCTTATATTTTAGAGCTGTTGTCACAGAACTGTAGGCGTTTACAGTCATTCCCTTTCTGGGAGTTTGTTGGCCTTTCATTGTGTTTTTTTCTGTGTGAAACCAGGTCATTAACTGCGAGAATCTCTCTGACAATACCTGCCCACTCTTTCTCCACCCATCTGCCCAACCAGTCTATCCATGCTCAGCTTTTCATCATCTCTTTTATGCATTTGCATGCCTTTATATGGCTGTCACTCACTGGTGCCTTTTTTTGTCTTAAGCTCCATCACTCCAGCGGATCTACTCCCCTTTCCTGTCACACTCTTCCCATCTGGCTGTGTCTTTTTTGGCTGTGCCTTTTCCAGTTGGCGCGTTTGTTTGCGTAGATCTTGGGTGTTTGCTGACGTTCACCTTCACACGTGTTGTTTGGAGAGGATGTATCAGGCCAACGCCAGGAAGGTCCATGTAAGGAGCAAGCTCGCAAATATTTTTTATTAATGAAAATAGTCATATTTTCAGTATTAAATAGAAAAATTAAACTAACAGTTTAATATGATTAAAGACTCTTAACTTCACATACAGTAGATTGCATACATCTGTCTACATTACAGACAAAACTGTGCTAGAAAAGAATAGATAGTTGTAATTTCTCCAAGTTTGCTCAAGATATATCTTTGCACAACATCATTTATGAAACAACATTTATCAATATGTGGTGATACATAAGAGGGCTAAACTCTAAACTGCAAAATTTCCT